AAGAAATCTCAAATTTTTGACCAAAACGATGGACTAACCCCTTTCGAAAAATTCTAATTTTGCGTTTTTCATAAACAGTTATTTTTATAGTCTTTAAAGGCTTCTTTTTTATCTGGAATGTCAGGAAACACTTTTTCTCAATGTATTTTTGATTAACACAAAAGATTAAAAAACTTTAACTTTTTGACCAAAATCATGAACTATCCCCTTGCAAAAATGCCAATTTTGCCTTCTTTTTAAATCCATGTTTATATTGTCTGGAAAGGCTTGTTTTCTAAGGAGAACGTCACCAAATACTTTTTGTCGGTGTTTTTTGCATAAAACGAAACGTTAACAAAATTTCCAATTTTTGACCAAAACCATGGACTAACCCCTTTGGAAAAATGTCAATTTTTTGGGTTTTTGAAGCCGATGTTTTCGTTGTTCAGAAAGGCTTGGTTGCTATATAAAACGTCAAAAATCGTTTTTCACTATTTATTTTCACGAACTATGACATGGGAATACAGGGGGTTACAAGGGGTTACAGGGGGTTTCAAGGGGTTACAAGGGGTGACAGGGGGTTACAAGGGGTTACAGGGGGTTACAAAGGATTATAGAATCTTTTTTCTAACTAGAACGTTCCCAGATACTTTTTTTTGGTGTATTTTGCATAAAAAATCAAAGTTGTAGAAATCTCAAATTTTTGACCAGAACGATGGAAAAATTCTAATTTTGCGTTTTTCATAAACAGTTGTTTTTATAGTCTTTAAAGGCTTCTTTTTTATCTAGAACGTCAGGAAACACTTTTTCTCGATCTATTTTAGATAAACACAAAAGATGAAAAACCTTCAACTTTTTGACCAAAATCATGGACTATCCTCTTTGCAAAAATGCCAATTTTGCTTTCTTTTTAAATCCAAAATCATGGACTATCCTCTTTGCGAAAATGCCAATTTTGCCTTCTTTTTAAATCCATGTTTATATTGTCTAGAAAGGCTTGTTTTCTAACGAGAACGTCACCAAATACTTTTTGTCGGTGTATTTTGCATAAAACGAAACGTTAACAAAATTTCCAATTTTTGACCAAAACCATGGACTAACCCCTTTGGAAAAATGTCAATTTTGTGGCTTTTTGAAACCGATGTTTTCGTTGTTCAGAAAGGCTTGTTTGCTATATAAAACGTCAAAAATCGTTTTTCACTATTTATTTTCACGATCTATGACATGGGAATACAAAGGGTTACAACGGGTTACAGGGGGTTACAAGGGGTTACAGTGGGTTATAATGGGTGACAGGGGGTTACAAGGTGTTACAGGGGATTACAAGGAGTGACAGGGGGTGACAAGGGGTTACAGGGGGTTACAAAGGATTATAGAAACTTTTTTTCTAACTAGAACGTTCCCAGATACTTTTTCTTGGTCTATTTTAGATAAAAAATCAAAGTTAAAGAAATCTCAAATTTTTGACCAAAACGATGGACTAACCCCTTTCGAAAAATTCTAATTTTGCGTTTTTCATAAACAGTTATTTTTATAGTCTTTAAAGGCTTCTTTTTTATCTGGAATGTCAGGAAACACTTTTTTCTCAATGTATTTTTTGATTAACACAAAAGATTAAAAACTTTAACTTTTTGACCAAAATCATGAACTATCCCCTTGCAAAAATGCCAATTTTGCCTTCTTTTTAAATCCATGTTTATATTGTCTGGAAAGGCTTGTTTTCTAAGGAGAACGTCACCAAACTTTTTTTTGTCGGTGTTTTTGCATAAAACGAAACGTTAACAAAATTTCCAATTTTTGACCAAAACCATGGACTAACCCCTTTGGAAAAATGTCAATTTTTGGGTTTTTGAAGCCGATGTTTTCGTTGTTCAGAAAGGCTTGGTTGCTATATAAAACGTCAAAAATCGTTTTTCACTATTTATTTTCACGAACTATGACATGGGAATACAGGGGTTACAAGGGGTTACAGGGGTTTCAAGGGGTTACAAGGGGTGACAGGGGTTACAAGGGGTTACAGGGGTTACAAAGGATTATAGAATCTTTTTTTTTCTAACTAGAACGTTCCCAGATACTTTTTTTTGGTGTATTTTGCATAAAAAATCAAAGTTGTAGAAATCTCAAATTTTTGACCAGAACGATGGAAAAATTCTAATTTTGCGTTTTTCATAAACAGTTGTTTTTGTAGTCTTTAAAGGCTTCTTTTTTATCTAGAACGTCAGGAAACACTTTTTCTCGATCTATTTTAGATAAACACAAAAGATGAAAAACCTTCAACTTTTTGACCAAAATCATGGACTATCCTCTTTGCAAAAATGCCAATTTTGCTTTCTTTTTAAATCCAAAATCATGGACTATCCTCTTTGCGAAAATGCCAATTTTGCCTTCTTTTTAAATCCATGTTTATATTGTCTAGAAAGGCTTCTTTTCTAACGAGAACGTCACCAAATACTTTTTCTCGGTGTATTTTGCATAAAACGAAACGTTAACAAAATTTCCAATTTTTGACCAAAACCATGGACTAACCCCTTTGGAAAAATGTCAATTTTGTGGGTTTTTGAAACCGATGTTTTCGTTGTTCAGAAAGGCTTGTTTGCTATATAAAACGTCAAAAATCGTTTTTCACTATTTATTTTCACGATCTATGACATGGGAATACAGGAAAATGTCTTTTACGATATTCTAGAACGCAAAAACGTCTTTCTAGGTTATAAAAGTGAGAAGTTCAAAAAGTCGAAAAATTGACATTTTTCATGGCGTCGGTTCCATGTGTTTGAGTCGTCGCATCCCTCGTTTCATCGTAGTGTTTTCTTCGGGGCACCGGTGGCTTTTCTTCTTGGCGTCGCTATGGGCTTATGTCCTTGTTGCGTCATTTTTATGTCTTTGTGTCGTCGGGCCTTCCTTTCGTTAACTGCGCTACATACTTGAACAGGTACTTGATATATAGGGACATATATTTTACCGACTTTACTTGCATAATTTATACCTTTCCTTTTTTGCTTGGTACCTTGTTACTATGTTACCTTGTTACCCTGTTATCTTGTTACCCTATTACTTTGGTACCCTGGTACCCTGTTACCTTGTTACCCTATTACTTTGTTACCCTGTTACCCTGTTACCTTGTTACCCTGTTACCTTTAAACCCTGTTACCCTGTTACCCTGTTATGTTACCCTGTTACTTTGTTACCTTGTTACCCTGCTACCTTGTTACCCTGTTACCCTGTTACTTTGTTAGCCTGTTACCCTGTTATCTTGTTACGCTGTTACCTTAAAACTCTGTTACCCAGTTACCTTGTTACCCTGTTACCCTGTTACTTTGTTACCTTGTTACCCTGTTACCTTGTTACCCTGTTACCCTGTTACCTTGTTACCCTGTTACCCTGTTACCCTTTTACCCTATTACTTTGTTACCTTGTTACCCTGTTACCCTGTTACCTTGTTACCCTGTTACCTTAAAACCCTGTTACCCTGTTACCTTAAAACGCTGTTACTCTGTAACCTTGTTACTCTGTTACCTTTTTACCCTGTGACCTTGTTACCATGTTACCCTGTTACCTTGTTACACTGTCACCTAGTTACCCTTTTACCCTGTTACCTTGTTACCCTGTTACCTTTTTACCTTGTTACTCTGTTACCCTGTTACCTTGTTACCCTGTTACCCTTTCACCCTGTTACTTTGTTACCTTGTTCCCCTTTTACCCTGTTACCTTGTTACCCTGTTACCTTAAAACCCTGTTACCCTGTTACCTTAAAATCTTGTTACCCTGTTACCTTGTTACCCTTTTACCTTAAAACCCTGTTACCCTGTTACCTTGTTACCCTGTTACCTTAAACCCCTTTTACCATGTTACCTTGTTACACTGTCACCTTGTTACCCTTTTACCCTGTTTCTTTGTTACCCTGTATCCTGTTACCTTGTTACCCTGTTACCCTGTAACCTTGTTACTCTGTTACCTTGTTACCCTGTTACCTTGTTACCCTTTTACCATGTTACCTTGTTACACTGTCACCTTGTTACCCTGTTACCCTTTTACCCTGTTACTTTGTTACTTTGTTATCCTGTTACCTTGTTACCCTGTTACTTTGTTACCTTGTGACTCTGTTACCCTGTTACCCTGTTACCTTGTTACCCTGCTACCCATTTACCCTGTTACCCTGTTACCTTGTTAATCTGTTACCTTGTGAATCTGTTACCTTGTGAATCTGTTGCCTTATTACCCAGTTACCATGTTACCCTGTTACCATGTTACCTTGTTACACTGTCACCTTGTTACCCTGCTACCCTTTTACCCTGTTACTTTGTTATCCTGTTACCTTGTTACCCTGTTACCTTGTTACCTTGTGACTCTGTTACCCTGTTACCCTGTTACCTTGTTACCCTGCCAGCCATTTACCCTGTTACCCTGTTACCTTGTTAATCTGTTACCTTGTGAATCTGTGGCCTTATTACCCAGTTACCTTGTTACCCTGTTACCATGTTACCTTGTTACACTGTCACCTTGTTACCCTGTTACCCTTTTACCCTGTTACTTTGTTATCCTGTTACCTTGTTACCCTGTTACCCTGTTACCTTGTTACCTTGTGACTCTGTTACCCTGTTACCCTGTTACCTTGTTACCCTGCTACCCATTTACCCTGTTACCCTGTTACCTTGTTAATCTGTTACCTTGTGAATCTGTTGCCTTATTACCCAGTTACCATGTTACCCTGTTACCATGTTACCTTGTTACACTGTCACCTTGTTACCCTGTTACCCTTTTACCCTGTTCCTTTGTTACCCGGCTACCTTGTTACCCTGTTACCCTATTACCTTGTTACTCTGTTACCCTGTTACCATGTTACCCTGTAACCTTGTTACTCTGTTACCTTGTTACCCAGTTACCTTGTTACCCTGTTACCATGTTACCTTGTTACACTGTCACCTTGTTACCCTGTTACCCTTTTACCTTGTTACTCTGTTACCCTGTTACCATGTTACCCTGTAACCTTGTTACTCTGTTACCTTGTTACCCTGTTACCTTGTTACCCTGTTACCCTGTTACCCTGTTACCCTGTTACACTCTAACAAGGTAACAGAGTGACAGGGTAACAGTTTAACAAGGTAACTGCTTAACAGGGTAACAAGGTAAAAGGGTAACAGGGTAACAAGGTAAAAGGGTAACAGGGTAACAAGGTGACAAGGTAACAGGGTAACAAGGTAACAGTGTAACAGGGTAACAAGGTAACAGGGTTACAGGGTAACAAGGTAAGCGAGTGACAAGGGTAACAGGGTAACAAGGTAACAGAGTAACAAGGGTATGGTAACAGGGTAACAAGGTAACAGGGTAACATGGTAACAGGGTTACATGTTAACAGGGTAACAAGTTAACAGGGTAACAAGGTAACAGGGTAACAAGTTAACAAGGTAACATGGTAACAGTGTAACAAGGTAAACAAAATAACAAGGTAACAAGGTAACAGGGTAACAGAGTAACAACATTACAGAGTAACAAGGTAACGGGGTAAGAAGGTAACAAGGTGATAGGGTATTATTATAACAAGGTACAGGGTAACAGGGTAGCAAGGTTAAGGGTACCAAGGTATACCCTGTTACCTTATTACCCTGTCACCCATTTGCCCTTTTACCCTGTTACTTTGTTAATCTGTTACATTGTTACCCTGTTACCTTGATACCTTGTTACCCTGTTAGCTTGTTACTCTGTTACCTTGGGACCCTGTTAGCTTGTTACCCTGTTACCATGTTACCCTGTTACCTTGTTACCCTGTTACCATGTAACCCTGTTACCCTGTTACCTTGTTACCCTTTTACCTTGCTACCCTGTTACCCTTTTACCCTGTTACCTTTTTACCCTGTTACCTTGTTACCCTGTTACCCTTTTACCTTGTTACTCTGTTACCCTGTTACCTTATTACCCTGTTACCCTGTTGCCTTGTTTCCCTTTTACCCTGTTACCTTGTTATTCTGTTACCCTGTTACCTAACTTATGCAAGTAAAGTCGGTACAATATATGTCCCCATACATCAAGTACCTGCCCAAGTATGTAGCGCAGTCGATGAATGGAAGACCTGAGGACACGAAGGCATAAAAATGACTCAACAACATGTAAGTCCATAGCAATGCCACTAGGAAAAGCCAGCGGTGCCCCAAAGAAAACATTACGAAAAAACGAGGGATGCGACGACTCGAAGACATGGAAGCAACGCCACGAAACAAAAGACAATGTCTTGAAGAACAATTTTTGAAGCGTAGAGGTGTTTCCAAGGCCACGAAATCTGAGTATCGATTTTGTCCCCGATCTGACGCGATACATTTGCCCGTTGGAATTTCACACCATTTGCTAATCATTACCAGAAAAATATATACTTTCTATAAAGTAGTTATCAGTTCTAGTACCGTGCAAATACATTCATTTTTACGAATCTGCATTTACTTAAGTCGTAACAAATCCGGTAAGCATTTTTACGTGGAGATAAACGGTAATAAACTAATTACTACGCTTAAGTATATTTTCTGGTAGAAAAATAATGTCAAATTGTAACGTCTTAGCTTAACCTTTTCATTATAGCGGAGCCTTCGCGCGCGAAGCGCGCCAGCGGAGCACCATGGGTAAGAAAATTTGGTAAGCTATCCATCCGATAAAATTTGGTTATGACGTAGCGTACGCCCGCCCGCCCGCCCGCCCGCTCGCCCGTACACACACTTCATGTAAGCCGATGTCAAGTGTCACACTTGTCAGGAACGTGAAATAAATAACAATGGAGACTAATGCCGCTGGAAGAAAAACATGAAAATTATATAGCGGCGGTTAGAAAATGAAGAATGCTAGCGGCTACTAATGTGAAAAAGCTGCGGCAGTGAAAAAATAGAATGAACAGGAACACAAACATTTCCTCCATAAAAAGCGTAAATAGGAAGCTAAAAGAAGTTTCACGTTAGTCGTGTAAAACAACGGTAAGGAAATGTACAAAAAAAAAACTGCTGCACGTGCAGAGTTGTTTTTTGCTAATTAGAAAAAAAGTGTGCTGCACGTGCAAAGTTGTGTTTTTGCTAATTAGATCTATTGTTGTTGTTTTTAGCGTTTTCGTTGCTTTCAACTTGTCTTTAGTATTCATCGATTTTATATTTTCTTTGAGGAATCTATAAATATTAAAGAGAGCTTCGCTTTTAGCCCTGGCTAAATCTATATATTATGTAAGACCCTGAAGAAGGAAGGCCGTGCCTTCCGAAATATTGTTAAAAATACATACATTCCCTACTGTAAAATCAACCTTGCTTCTTTTGTTTAATATTTTTTTACTCATTGCTGATCAGATCCTTTATGAGGATCTGGTCCTTCTCTTTTGTAAGCTGGTCCTTGCTTCAAAAATTGAATCTCTTGGAAGTTGCTCTTTTCAGAATATCCTGACAAATCCCATAATTTCACAAATTAACACGTTACTCTTAGGGACTTGTCAGAAATTAGCAGGGGGAGGGGGCGTGGAAACAGAGGGAGGGTCATAACTTTTTGAGCTGCAGAAAAGGGAGGGGTCATGAAAAATAGGCCGTTAAAAGGGAGAGGGTCATGCAAATATGTGTCCGTGAAGTTCTTTATTTTGTAAAAAATACCTGGGAGAAATAGGAGAGTCGAGTGATAATCAGAGTCGGACTCTTAATGCTGTCATCTGAAATGTATGTATATGGCATTACAAAGAACAGATTAGAAATATATTTTGAGCTTTCATAATACTGATTCACCCTTGTGTATTGCAAGAACTTGATTTTATCATTTAAACAAGAGGGGGAGGGTCATGATATTTTAGGCCAATGTCAAGGGGAGGGTTAGCAAATTTCACTCCCATTGCTGGGATGGGTCACCTCATTTCCGAACTCAAATTTTAAATTCCCACCCCGCTCCCCCCCCCTGCTAATTTCTGACAAGTGCCTTACCGTATTTCATTTCTTACTATTCCTCCGCATTTACAATTAATCAGTTCCACAACCACGACGCTGAAGTGTACGCTCCATAGCGTCTACTCTTGGGCCTCTACTTGTGTCACCAACCTACAACGACATTACAGAAACGCGCCCATTCAAAAACGTCGATCGTGAAAATGCAAATAAGTGAAAAATGACGTTAATTTAGTGTCAATCAAGAAATCCCCTGGGTATATCCCTTTCCTGGTTATTGTTCCTGCTCAGACATCCGCAACATTTGCCTATTCTTCGATGAAGAATAGAACTTTACGCGACTAACAATAGCTCAGTCTGTTGAAAAACTGTCTAAATTTACTCCGGATTAGCATGTGACGCTTTGCTGTTAAACGCTTCAAAATTGAAAAATCCTCGATGATTGTTGTTGATTTTGCCGTAAATAATTCAATGCACTGACTTAAAATGAATTTTTATCTTTTACAAAAGTCTTGGTGTTCGAATCGATCGATGAAATATGAGGGTAACCGATGCGTTAATAGTTTGTTTACATTTTGTCACGGGTTTTGGATAATATTACAAACCTTAAAATTTACGGGCAAATTCGACGAAAAAGCACTCTCACTTACATTCTTCATTTAAGATTAAGGTTATTTTGATTTTAGCAAAGTATAGGGCAAAATTAAGAGCGATACTTTCTTTAAGAATGCTATAACTACACATTTAACGGCCAAACCTAACCAGCGATCTACTCCGTCTCTTGAAAACAACTACAATACCGCTTCTGATAATAATATTTATAAAAGCTGCAAACATTTTTATTCAATCTTATCGAATGATTTTCGTGAAGATGAGTTTTTAAGTGAAGAATACTTTGGTTTCTGATTAGCTTTAACTGTTTTACCATCAAAACGATTCGCACGAGACTACCGAATTCGCGAGGGTTTTATGTTAGTGCACGAGGAAGAAAAATGCTTCTCTTTGATTGCATAAACTTGAAGCACTGACAAAGACATTCCAACACTTAAAACAATGGCAACCTACTTCTATTGTTTCTGCATTGTCTCTTGAAAGTGTGAGAATAGTTAACCGCTATGAAGTTCATAAGAGACCGAAAACGACGGTAGTCTTTGAAACTTCGTTTTTGCTCGCAAAGCCTAATGGGTACCCCACTTTTCACGGGCGACGTTTTTCAATGAGCAGTCCGGGCGATCTCTGAAGCTGACTACAAGGCTTCAAGTAAACCTCTTTTTGCAAATTTGAAAATTCTTGATGTTTTTAGAATCTACTCTCTCCAAGTGAGTTCTTTCATGTACCTATATCATAATGATGCTTTACCTATTTCTTTTACTCAAATCTTTCAAATTGGAAACCAGATTCATCAATATTCAACATTAGATACCCTGACTTTTACCGACCTCATACCTGTAGACCAAATATCAAAAAATTTTCGATCCTGTTTCAAGGTCCTAGAATGTGGAATTCATTGCCGAACGACATCAAAAATGCCCCGTCTTTTAGTATATTCAAGCGTGTGATTAAACCATTTTTAAGGATCAGACAGAATGCAACCTAAATACCTTACCTTCGGCTTCTCGGAGATTTCCCCGCCACAATCACTCCTCCCAAGTAATGTACAAATTTTAGATTTATTGTTAATTAACCTGTTTATTATCGTTTTTATTCTGCTTGTAATTCATTGTGTGTGGCAAAATAATAAATAAAATAAATAAAATACACTGATTACTTGTGAAACAAAGGAGTGTATACCGTTCTTGAAACGTGTTTTGCGTCATCCGGTGACACTGAAAACAGTTATTACACAAGACATCAGGGAAGAGAGAAACGTAGGGATGCCGCTCTTATTGGGATACTCTTCGAATCGCACACTGGTACTGGCCATTAGAAAAAAATGACAAACTTTTCCAACTGGAAACTCATCCTGAAAACAAAAATGATGAGATATCCTCTAAGTAAATAAAGAGATAACGATTTGAAGGTAGCACATCCACATAGTGGTTCTTTGTCTACCTGATTCCTGGTCGAATTGGAATTTGGAAATGTTAGTTTTTGAGGAGAGGCGAAAACCGGAGTACCCGGAGAAAACCATTCGTGGCAGGGGAGAGAACCAACAACAAACTCAACCCACATATGGCGTCAACGCCGGGATTTGAACCCAGGAGACATTGGTGGCAGGCGAGTTCTCTCGCGGCTTCGCCACCCTAACTCTAAGTGCTAAACTTTAGAATGTGCAAACTCATACTGTCTTTATTGACTTTTTGTCTCTACAGTTAATGGATCAGCGCAATTGCTTCCTTGATTTCTGCCCTTTGCATCGTCAGTGTCTTACCTGATATTGATTCAGAGTGGCCACAACACCAGACTCTGCACTCGTTGGGGATTGCTAAGTAAACGTTATTAATCATGAATCTTATTTTTCCAGCTTCAATTAAGATTCTCATTACTCCAATCTAAAATTATCAACGTGGACGACGGGAATCCTGTTTTTTTGGGAACTGATTTTTTTTGTGGAAATTCGACGGAGTGTATAGGTGTTGAAACGTATTTTGCGTAAACCGCTGACACTCAAACCAATAACACAATAAATCAGGGAACAGAAAAACGTAGGGATACAAAACTAAAATTATCAACGCAGACAATGGGAATCCTGGTTTGTGTGGGAACTGATTTTTTTTTTGTGGAAATTCGACCGAGTGTATAGGCGTTGAAACGTATTTTGCGTAAACCGCTGACACTCAAACCGATAACACCATAAATCAGGGAACAGAGAAACGTAGGGATACCAAACTAAAACTATCAATGCGGACAATGGGAATCCTGGTTTGGGTTTGCTTGGGAACTGACTTTTTTTGTGAAAATTCGATGGAGTGTATAGGCTTTGAAACGTATTTTGCGTAAACCGCTGACACTCAAACCGATAACACAACAAATCAGGGAACAGAGAAATGTAGGGATTCCACTCTAATTCGGGTACTTTTCAAATTGGAAACTAATGCTAACTTCTTAGTTTCT